CTACTACTACTACTACTACTACTACTATTACTACTACTACTACTTCCTCTTCTTCTTGTACTACTACTACTACTAGTGCTACGACTACGACTACGACTACGACTACGACTACGACGACTACTACTACTACTACTACTATTACTACTACGACGACTACTATTACTACGACTACTACTACTACTACTACTACTACGACGACTACTACTACTACTACTACTACCACTACTACTACCACTACTACTACTACTACTACTACTACTACAACTAGTACGACTGGTATTACTACTACGACTACTACTACTACTGTGATTACCACTACTACTACTACTACTACTGTTACTACTACTACTAATACTACTACTACTACTACTACTACTACTACTACTGCTACCATTACTAGTACTACTACTACTACTACTACTACTACTACTACTACTACTACTACTAGTACTAGTACTAGTACTACTTCTACTTCTACTTCTACTTCTACTACTACTACTACTACTACTACTACTACTACTACTACTACTACTACGACTACTATTACGTCTACTCGTATTCCTACTCCTACTACTACTACTACTACTACTACTACTACTACTACTACTACGACTACTACTACTACTACTACTACTACTACTACTACTACCACTACTACTACTACTACTACCAAGGTTACCCATAACCATACTGCACAACTCACCGTCAGCAGCAACAACATCATAATCATTATCCGCATCATCTGCATCCACATCCGGCCACGTCATCCTCACACGTCATAGTGATGGTCACCATCCTCGCCACCACGCTCCTATTTTATCTATCCCGCATACTCGTCGCCACCATCACCACCATCGACAACAATTCATCCCCATCATCATCACCGTCCTCATCGTCAATCACCACCGCCATGACCATGACCCCCAGTGTCATATCACGGCATTCTTTGCTACCCCTCCGCATCCTCCTTTTCCTCCCCATACGTATCCGTCTTCTCCCTGTTCGTCCCCCAATTCCTCCTCTGTGTCCCCCTGCCTTGTACTTCTCCAGTCCTTCTCTACCATCCCCCTCAGCATCGTCCTCCTTCGCGTCCTCCTCCTCCTCCTCCGCATCGTTCCCACTCCGGCGCTCGCTCCCAAAAGTGTCCTCCCAGCACTCCGGATCATGCGGAGCGGGGTCGTCTACGTCTGGCACGCCGTCCCCGTCGGCGTCCACGCACTCCTGCGGCGCTCGGCAGCACGAGGAGGGGGAGGAGGAGGAGGAGGAGGAGAAGGAGGAGGACGACGACGACGACGACGACGACGGCGACCAGCTCGAGAACGAAGACGAGAAATACAACGACGACGCTTTTCGACTAGCAGTCAAAGCAATGCTTTCTCGCCCCAACGCTTTACCAAACGGACATTTTTCGGGAGCGTGTGATTGCTGGGGGGCCAGACCCCGAATTCACAAATCTCCTTGGGCTGTGCCTTCTTGGCATGGGCGGATTCCCGCATGACCTACTCGGGCACAATGAAGCCCCAGGGCGGGCCAGAAGAGCCGCAAGAGGCTTCCAAGACGGTCCAAGAGGACCCCAAGTCGCCGAACGATCGCTCCAAGACGCCCAAGATGGTCCCAGGACGGCCCAAGAAACCTCCAACACGCCCCCAGACATCTCCATGAAGTGCCCGAGAAGGCTCCAAGAGGCCAAAATCGCTGATCTCCCTAAAGCGTGTGAAGTTTTTGGGGGGGGTCTCGCGCTTTCGTTTTCCCGACGCATCATGACGGCCAAAAAGGCTCTCAAGATCGCACCGAGACGGCCACAGAGTTCTTTTTTGATTTGATCCAGGCAACGCCAAACTGTACACTCACTTCCGCCTGCGGGTCTTGACGACCTGATTCTGGCGGGCCCACTGGCTTCTGCCAGGACGTTGGCCCTTGGTCACCTTCTTCAGCATCCTGGCACCATGATCACTGAGGTGACCAGCACATTGATGCTTCAAATTGCGAGCCGCCATGGCCGCTATGAAACAACACGTGAAACAAACTGCGGTGCCCCATGCTTTGCTGTAACCTAACATGTGGGACGGATGCAACCTTTGACCATTCACCACAGCGCCTTGTGGCATCATAACCACACCATTGAACAAACCTGCGCGGCAAGGAGTGCTCAGGAACTGCCGAGCCAGGGAGCGGGGGGCCGAGCCTCCACAAACTTTACATTGGATGCGGCGCCTCCTACCCTCCTCTGGCGTGTGAGCGGTTAGATCCAACTGGATCTTATACTCCTTGAAATGACGCTGCACAACCTTTTCTCGAGGGGCCCTGTCCCCGTCCGCCTCAATCGCAGACAAAAGAGTGTGCCCAAGGTGGTCCCGAACCTGGAAAGCAATCCCCTGGGCGAAGGACCTGCTGTCTCGGTCCTTCTCTGGCGCGCGCAAATTATCTGCCCACGAGCTGGCGATGCGGCCTGCAACTTCGTTGACAAGGTAGTGCAGCTGATCCGCACCTGCGGCAGAGACGTGCTCGGGACTCCTGTGACTCTCGACCTTGACTACGACCAATCCCCGTTCGGGGTGCGTCTGAATGAGAGCTCTGAGCTGGTGCCACACGTCGAGGTGAGACTGCGGATTGATCCCTGCCCTTAACTTGGCAAGGTCATCAACAACATACGGAGAGTCTGCGACAAAATAAGCCGAGGCAGTCGAAAACACCGCACGCACGAACTCAACCAAGCACAAAACCTCGCCTGGGTTGACCGACTGCCTCGACCCTGGGACGTTGCCAAATCCAGCGGCGTGCGTGCGAAGGCTCTCGATCGAGCACTGTCCGTCCTCGTCGAGTCCTCTCAGCACCACCCAAGACCAGGCAACTCTACGAAGCATGGGATCTTGAGTATCCTGGCCGCCGCTCGCGCCCCCACCACCGAAAACAAAACCGCCCACAACAGCCCCGCACAAGTCATCGCCCAACCTACGGAAATCAGCGACTTCGGGTGGCGGGGGGACGGCGGTCCAAGAACTGGGCGTCAGCCCTCGGACCCAAAAACTAAGATTGTGATATGCATCTGCTCTGGCTCTGCGAACGACGAAATCTGAGACCTTGCAAAAACCTGCATTCGTGGGGCAATCCCAAGCTCTGCGAAGGTCTGACTCGAGCACATGCTGGCATCTGCGACAGCGGCTGTCCTGCGAAAGGTTACACTCCTGCATGCGGCAGCGGGTCCAACTGTTGCCCGTGGCGACCGCGCGCAGGATACCAGCCCACTCACGTTTGCCTTTCTTCTTGAGCCTCCTGAGGTCCCTTCTGAAATCAAAAGGATCTGGGACCAACTCAAGGCCCTGGCCATTCCGCGAATTTTGAGCGGCAGCAGGCCACAACTTGCGTTCCATGCTAGCTGCCAGAGCCTCCTTGATGACAGCAAGATCAACTTTACCCCGCCCGAGCAGGGACTCGTCGATAGCATACCTAACTCCAAGATCGCACTCCCAAGCCCACGGACCCCAAGGCCCCCAACCCAGATCAAGCAGAGTGGCAATAGTCGCCGCCGCAGGGGTGGCGACACCTCCCCGCCTGTGCCTGGCGGGCCTGCCCCGCAGACGCGCGAGAACCTTTCTCCAGACTCCGCGGATCCTCTCAGCATGGAAACTGCGATCCGTTAAAATGAGGAACCATGCCTCGATCGTGCCAAGGAGAGCGAGGAAAGCAGGATCCTTCCTCCCATACTCCAGCGCTAACAGCGTGGTGAGGCACCTACCCCCCTTAGCGACTCCCCCAGTCAACCGACCCAACGACCGACGCCATCTCAAAACGACATGGGGGGCAGCGCCGTGCACCTTGTCAGAAGAACGTGGGTTGGCGAAGGCAGCCGTGAGGGCCATCTTCTTCGCCCATCTCTTGCATAACATGTTGCCTGCTGCAACCTTCTGAAGCTTACCCAAACGCTTAACCGTGGCTTGCCTACGTGCTGCCTGCTTCGGCCTAGACGCCCCGACTCTACCTCGGACTATGCCTAGGTCAGCACTGACTAGTTTGACCTGGATGTCTATCTGGTGTCCTTTTGAAAAACTGCTGCAACTGCTGGGCTACACTGGTACTCGAGCAGATGATGCACGACTTACTGGCCATGGAAAGGTGAGCCTGCTCGAGACAACGGACCAGCTTCAGCCCCGCACTTGAGAGCTGTCTGAAAACTAACTCGCTTGTGCCGTGCATGCACTGCACCATGTCATCCACCCAAGTGCGCAGGCTCGGCTCGGCAGGAGCCCCAGTGACAAGTTGCGCGCAAACATGGTGCAGGGCAGCTCTTCCTAAGTCGACTGCACCACTGCTACCTGGAATGAGTGACAGCTCTGGGTCTACAGGGGGCGAGTAGCCGCCCCCATCTCGAAGAAGCCTGACCGCCATGTGTACCTGCAACTCTAGAGCAAGATAGCAAGGCGGGACATCTAGATCCAGGGCCTTCTCCAATATGAGGTCCCACCGGAGGCTATCATAGAACCCTTTCACATCCCAGAGCAAACTACCACTGTGAAAGTCGGGGAAGCTTGAATTGGCTGCTTCCTCATCCCGAAAAAGGCGCAGCAACGCAACTTGCAGGGCCGAGGAGCCCGCCAGCGCCGTGTCCCACGTGCCAGCAGTGTCCCTCGTCCAGGCAGCTCGGTCATCGTTTCTCAGCCTGCCCCAGAATCTCACCAGCCAGGCAAGCAGGCCAATCGCACGATCCGCTTCCAAGTCCTTGACCTGGAGGGTGACAAGAATGACCAAGACTTGCCATGGCCAACAGCACCCCCTTTCCACCTGGGAGAGAAGCCCTGCCAGATCCTGCAGGCCCGCCCTAGGCAACCAGAGGAAGTCCTTCTTCGTCATCTGGTCTACCCCTGGCGCGCGGTCTGGCAGGGCTGAGATGAGCCTGGAAATCTGCTCCTCAGTGATCGGTTTGGGCTCGAGTGCCTTAGCCTTCGACTGGGCTTTCCACCAAAGTTCGGAAACACGCTTGAAAGTGGAGGGATCCCCTTTCCACTTTAGGCTCCACACTCTGGCCCTGGCCTCCATGCGTGCACAAGAATCTGGAGCTGGGTCACCCCAAGCCCTCATTTCGCCAACAAAAACTGCTTTGTCTTTGAGCCTGTTGTACAGCCCCCGTCCACCTAGCTGGTCTTGCTGCAGGACCCACTGGTGGAACTTGCCGAGACTGGCATGGAGGACAGACCTCTGGACTCTGACAGAATTGGCGTAGGCCTGCCTACTGAGGCCCCTGATGGAGTCATCTGCGAGCCCCCGAATCACCCTGAGACTTCGGCACCACTTGGTGCGCACAGGGGGGGGAGGCATCAGAGGAGAGACAGGAACAGAGACCGACAAGTCCCTCAAGCGCTCGCCTAACCTACTGGCCTTACTAGAGCCCCTCTGGTCCAGGAGGCCCACAAGGTCCTTCAACAGGAAATCCACCGTGGCCCACCAGTGCGCCACAGGGTCCCTAGACGAAACAAAGTGGGCTCCTTGGGCCTCGGGTCTCCTAGTGAGCACTCCAAGGGAACCTCTACCTCGGTACTTATTTTGATCACTCGGATGCATCTCCAACATCGCGCAAAAAATGACTCAACCTTCTCAGTCCAGTCCGCGAAGGACCTGCCAACAGAAGGCGACGCCTCGGGATCCAACCGAAACGCCTTCGAATCCACTATGTACTTCGGCGGCGTGCCCTGTGGCCGACTGGCCGACAGAGCGTGCCAGAGCCTGCCCTGGGCTTCTGGCGCCGTCTCGAGGAGCAGCTGCGAGACGTTCCCTCCATGCGCTGCTGGGGGGGCGGGGTCTGCAGGGCCTCCTGCACCCGTCGCCGCACCTCCTGGGGGGGGGCGGGGTCTGCTGGCCCACCAGCACCCATCGCCGCGCCCCCTGCGCCCTCGGCGCCGCCCTGGCCGATGCGGCCGCCGTCGTCGCCAGTCGACTCACCGCCATCTTCCTGCTGCAGGTCATCCTCTGACTCCAGGCCCCAATCCTGCGCCCCCAAGTACTGCAAGGGAGGCGGCATCTTGAACCTGATCTGCCTCCGCGCTCTCAACGGAGGACGTGGTAGTTCTGGCTATGGCTCAGCGGCGGCCTCATTGAGCTGGCGCAACAGGCGCCGTCGAGACCTCTTACTGGTCGGATCCGCTTGCTTCTTGGGCCCCGGTGGGTACTGAAATCTCTGCGGCATACTGAGTGCCCATCTCTGAGCCTTCTCTAACCTCAACTGCAAC